GTAATTGCGGATTGCATCGTGCAGATTGCATTGTGTCGAGTGGAGTGTCATCGCTATTGGTGGAGTGCCATCGCCACGGGGAGTACCATCGCTCCGCTCTATCCACGATGAACAACGGCAGCTAACACATGAAAGCCATTTACGCTGCTGGTACTTATTCTACAGAGAAATCTAGTAGCGGATGGGGTTGTAATTAATCTAAAACCCCCTATTGATGGAGTAGAGGACGGAAGTCCAAGTATCAGCTTTGCTCCGGTGAGTACCAGGTACCGTACGAACCTGCTACCTGTGTTTGTTTTGCACCCAGCCAGCTAGCTAGTAAACTCGCTCATGTGAGTGAGTGTCCAGTAAATGGAGTTCTTCGAACAAGCCATGCATCCATCCAGGGCAGACAATCCCCAACATTTGGATGAGGCACATGTACGGTATACAGGGTGGACCAGCCACCACGAACATATTGGAGTCGAGTCATCCATTAATTGTTGATGATGTGGTGTTACCCAAACCATGAAAGTCCTTCCTTGATCCATCTGTACGGTACGGTACGGTACGGTACGGTACGGCACCGCAGCTCCCGAAAGAGAACGACTTTAATTAAAAAGAAACGTACACACACGAGTGCAGCAACGAAGGAGAAAGCTGCTGCCGCCATTGTCCACTACTAATGTCTTTATTGTTATTACCGTTTACCACATCGTACTGTACCTATCATACCTATCATACCGTACCCATACCGGTAGTTACCCTAGTAGACTATCTACCACCTCGCGGACTCGTAGAATTTGTGTTGCATCATGACATTGACATCTGGCGCCTTTAGTTTTTCCTTGAGTTGCGACGATGGCGAAGTAGGTTTCTGTTTGGCATTCCCCGCTTGGTTGGCAGCCGTCTTGTTGTTGTTGTTGTTATCGTCTCCATTATTGCTGGCATCCATCGTAGTCGTTGCGTCGTGCGGTTCTGTCTCTTTTGTCGTACCATTTTGCGGAGCTTCTTCTTCTCCATCGTCATCGTCATGCAAACTCTTGACATCATCATCATCGTCATCGTCATCGTGATCTTCTTCCTTGGGTGCATCCATAATTTCTTGCATTCGTTTGTGGGATACTATATTGTCGTTGGTCCCCCGTCGTCGAAGTCCTCGGAGACTGGATCCCAAAGACCATCCACCACCCGTGTCTAGATTGGATTCGGACTGTGATGATGATGATAGGAGTAGAGACGTACTGCGTTGTTTGACGGATTGGATCCAAGAAGGTCGATTGTTATCTGACGTGTGTAGAGAACTGGCACTGTCAAAATGACTGCTGTCTTGCATGACGTGTCTGTTTGTCGTAGTTGCTGTGGTGGTATTAGTATTGGTGGAAGTCGTATGAGCACTGTGAAGATCTTGTAGTTCGAGACTTTCGTCCATTCCACCATTGTGGTTGCTATTGCTATTTCCTCGAAATAAATGAGAGGCGTAACTCTTGAGCTTCCTGCCAACGCCAGCTCTTCTGTTTGTGTATGGATTTTCATTGTTGTTGTTGTTGTGGTGATGATGATGATAGTTTCCTCTGGATCTGAATTCCGCCAATCTCATTTGATCGGCTTTGAGTTGATGTGCCTTGCGTTGTTCGTATCTCTGCAAGAATTCCAGAAAGGATTCACTAGTGTTGTTGTTGTTGTTGTTGTTTGCATTGGCACTAGCAGAATTGGGTTGAGGATAAGCATTCGATTGCTGCAACATCTCATTGGAACTGGGAGTGATTTCTGGGTCTTCTTGTTGTTCAGCTGTTGTAGAAGTATCATGCAGTTGATTGAGTGTGTGTTGAATGGCCGGTGCAATTTGAATCTCAGGTTCCATTTGTTTCAATTTGTCGACTTGATTGTGCATTTTGGTTTGCAACAATAAAATTTGTTTTTGTGTCAAGACTCTCAATTGCTTGGTGACATCTTCCATCCACGCTATAGTGTCCCATCCCGACTCTTTTGTTTTCAACAGCAATTCTTCGTGAATGCACAAACAGTGCACGTGCAAACACAGTCTGGCTTGTAACGTCAATAGCGCTGCTGGAACGCGGAAATTAGAGGCGGCTTGAATGGTTTGAGTATAGGGAATCAGAGAGGTAGTCGCCAGTAGAGTCGCTCGTCGTTGCTCCAATTGATGACAGGCAAATTTGTACTCTTGGCGTAATTCTTCTTCTTGTTCTGCGTAGTTGTCTCGTTTGCGAATCCCATCGGCTTTGGCCATGGTCAAACGACGACGCCAGACATTCAATTCCTCCTCCACAATCTCACGCGCTTTTTGATCAATTGCTTTGGTATTGCGTGCTTCTTCGCGACGGCGGCGGCGGCGGGCTAGCATGGTTATGACTATGACTTAGTTATTAGCTATAGATAGGTAGATAGGTAGAGACGAACTAGTTGGGATCGATGGATGGTAGTCACTAGCTAGCTAGTAGGAAGGTTGTTGCTGTTGGATGTTTGGATCCAAATTTAAAAATGTCTCTCATGGATTGGCTTTTTCTCATGCTGCCACCTTTTGAGGACGCCAGCGCCAAAGTCTTTCACGCATGGCGGCCTCAGCGCAGTGGCGGCACTTCTTTGGTCACACATTTTAACAAAAGTCAACAGCTCTTTGCTTTGCACAACAACAACAACAACAACAACATGTCAGTACGAGCGAGTTCGGTACGCACCAGCCACCGGTGCACAGCAGGATCGTCATGTCGCTCCATACGAACGGCACCGTAGCTACCAGTGGCCGTTCTCGATTGTGTGGTACTAGTAAGGGTCCTTGCCAGTTACACAGAGCTTGCCAACAGGGGGTCCCAATCCCCGGCAGAGGCTCTGCGAGAATCTCGACACATCATGGTGAAACAAGCAACAGATTTTAAAATTAAAACAGACAGAATACTAACTCTATGATCTACTAGCCTATATTGCCATCTAGCCATCTAGGTCCCTGAAGATGTATGTTGTCCATCCCAGTAGCAGTAGGTTCCCCCGTTCCCTCCCCACTACTGTACTCTCTATAGACTCGGCCTTGGTAGTACCTGCCTTGGAGGTGGGCGTAGTTGATCCTCGTGCCAAGGAGGGATTGATTGATGCTGCCTACCGTACCTACGGTACCGGTACCAGCTGCTTGGAAGGAAGGAATATTCGTCTCAACTGACCACTTAGAGCAGTCACTAAAAATATAGGTCGCACTATTGGTCGTTCCCAAATAGATACCTATCTGGTCGACCCAAACGGCGACCTTTTTCATTCACTAAAATTGGGTCGCCATATCGGTCGACTGATACCTAATTGACCAATTCAATCACTAAAATTTCGGTTGCAACATAGGTCGCCGAAACGGTCGTTCGTTCCGTGGAAACTTTCGCTCGAGCTCATTTCGCTCACTCATCAGTGTGCTTTATTGATTGCTTTGGTTGCTTTGGTTGCTTGGTTGCTTTGGTTTGACAATGAAGACTGCAGGAGCTAAGGGAAAGGGAGATGGCTTTGTGGAGAAGCACAACAAGGCCGCAGCAGACATCAGGAAGAAGCGTCAAGATGAATCTGCCGCATCAGTCAAGTCATCATCTGATGAAGAAGAAGAAGAAGAAGAAGTAGAGGCAGTTTCTACACCTCGTGATTCACTGTGCTTTTCACGGCAGCCCATTTCTCTCGTCTCGATATGTTGTGTATTTCCACATTACTGCGGCCCTCAAATCCAATCCTAGAGAGGTCGTCGGCTTGGCTAGCTCCTTGAAGCCCAGCACGATCTGATGGTATCGCAATTTCGCCTTCGTCAATGATCGAGTTGCAGGGATTGTAACGGGCTCGACATGCACCTTCCATCACTCGGTCCGAAGCACACATATTATGCAGCAATATGCAAGTCGTTACTCTCTTACCGATCTTCTCCAATTTCATTTCCATCAAAGGACGGTGTGTGTATTGGAATTTTCCCTGAAGCACACCAAAGGCACGCTCAATATCTTTCCGTGCTGACTCCTGCCATTTGGTGAATGTTCTCTCGCCACTTCCCACAGGTTCGGTAATGCCCTTGACAAACCTTGCCAATGGAGGGTAAATTCCATCCACCAAGACATAAGTTCGGTGGAATTGCTGATTGGCAATCTTGAAGGGCACGGCAGTCACTTCATTGGCCTCAAAAGATCCATCCACCAACGATTCGAGGAACGGTGAAATTTCCAGAATTGTTTTTGTCATTCAGCGTTCCTACGTATCCATACGAGGCATGCCAAAAAAATAATTGCTGGTCACAGATCGCCTCCAAAACAATCGTTGGCTTCCCTTTGGCTCCCAAATAGCTACCCTGCCATCCAACAGGGCAATTCTTCCAAATCGTGTGCATGCAATCAAGAGAACCAAACATTCCGTCAATTCCATGGGTTGCTTTGTGGCATTTCGTGATGTTTTTTACATCCGAACGGGTTGGAAGACGAAGATACTCGGCCTTGTAAATTGCGAAAGAGTGCTGTCAAATTTGTCGCAGCAATCGCGGGCAAATTGAAAAGACATCTGGAAATAATCGCAGAAGGTGTGGGGCGGCACGCCATAGGCAAGAGTCTTCAGTGGAAGCAGGATACGGGCTTCAAGGCATGATCCTCCCTTCCCGCAATAATACTTGTCTCCAGTGCCACCGAAGTCTTCAATGAAACACTGCATCCTAGAACGAGAGATACGGAAGAAGACTGGAACTGCCGGTCGTTGAATAGAGGTGCGAGCCCAAGATAATCCGACATGATGCACTCCTTCGCCCTGGCATGATCGTACTTCTTCCTTTCTCGTCTTGGCAGCGTACGGTGATCAATGAACTCTCCAGGACCATCAACAGAGCTATCAAATAGCAAGTCTACGACGACTTGATCGTCATGGCTCGCCTAGTTGCCCCAGAGGTGAGTTCGTCCCAATCCTCTTCCTCTTTCAGCGAGCTCTTTAGCTGCTACGGCTCATTGCTACTTCTTCCATGGGATATCCTTGTTGGCAGGTTATTGCTATGCCTGTTGCTATGCCTGTTGATGAGGCTTTTTGTGTGTTGATGTGGCTACAACCAAAACAGCGACCTGGTCGATCCACTGGTCGCAAAGTGACCTTGAATCGACCAGTGGAACGACCGGTCGATTTCGGTCGCAACCTAAACCTCGACCGAAATGAGTTAGTGACTGAATAGGTTTCGATTTGGGTTCCAGCTAAAAACCAATCGACCAATATTGGGTGCGACCTATTTTTTAGTGACTGCTCTTACTTCACGTACCGACCGGTACGTACCGTACAGCAGCGGACAAGCAAGAAGTGGTGATGATGACCTCATTCGATTCGATTCCTTGCCCGCTTGGTTGCCCGCTTGGTTGGTTGCATGATCCACTCAAGATGATCGAGTCAGCCAGTCAGCTGCTAAAAAGCAGGCCAACAGCAGCAAATAACCATATCATACTAGAAAAGCACCAGCACATGTGGAGCTAGCTAGCTCGACGCGTCTATAAATCTGTTACTTCGCTGCATGCATGCATGCATACCGGTATACAGGTTCTACTAGACTATACCGGTATCCTCAGTATAGCCTTCATCATCATGCCACAAAGCTCTGACGATCGATCGAGTGCAAGTAGTGGCCGGTTGCTTGTGAAACAAGGTTGCTTGCCAACCACCAGCACGTATAGTGCAACATGTGCCGTACTTACGTATACCGGTACAATGTAGTGTACCTGCGCATCCGAGCTGGTCTCGGCAAGCAAGTCCTGCAGGTACCGGTGGCCTTCCAGGGGAACAAGAACACTCTTCAAAGCACCACCAACTCTGTAAAAAGCAATTATTCCGTAGCGAAGCTAAAATCAGCTGCTTCAGAAATCTAAGCTACGTATAGTTTGGAGTTTTGTAAGCATGGTTGAAATGAGAGTTCTCTCGCCTGTAACAAGGATTTAGAGGTTGAGGTTGCATGATTGAATTGAATGAGAATTCGTTTCCTTGTCGCGTTGCTTCGCGTGGCACCTATAATCTGCATGCCCAAGTTGAACGAGAATGCAAAGCGTCTTAGACAGCGACGCGCCGTGGAGAATGAATAGCTCAGTAAAAAGGATACTGGTACGGCATGAACGATGAGACTACTCCCTAACTACGGTAGCTACCTGGTAGTAGGTAAAAATCCAGGATTGCTCAGAGCTATTATTAGACTGCTATCGGTAGATACATTAGTACCTGGTACCGGTTTCAGAATGGAGCTTTATTGATTGCTGCCGCATTGCGACAAAGATAGCCAAGCACCACTACAATGACTGTCATGTTGAGCTGGCTGGACGCTCAGATAGTTGTAGTTTAAGCCGTTCTTCTGCTCGGCTACATGTATACCAGTATATGTATTATTATAGCCTTCATCATGCCACGAACTCTGACAATGCAAGTGGCCAGTTGCGACAAGGATGCTCATTTACCTCGAGGTGCTGGTGTCCGCTAGGCACTGCAATGGTACGGTACCGGTACGCACCGTCCTGAACACAAAGAAGAAGCGTTTTAGAAAGCAGCGCGTCATCGGGAAAGATGTCTTACTGTAGCGGATTTATCCAACATTCGCTGAAACAAGACCTTTTAAAACCATCTTGATTAGGACGATTTAACCAATGCGGGTACATGTACGAAGATTTAATCAATACAAAAAGAAGATTTAACTTTCCATTTCCACAACTTATTTTGGTTGAACCACGATGAACACAAGAACACAACACCGTACTGTATTGAATAGTACGCACCACCAGAGCACTATGTCACCAGCGCTTACGGTACGGTACCGGTACGGTACCCGTAGAAGTATGGATCTCTCTGGCTCTCAACTTCGAGGCTGGGAATTGACGTCGTCCGCGATACCGGTTCAGAGTCCAGAGCAACCTAAAACACTGCAGCAATACAAGGAGTTACTTGCTCAAGGTGCGTTCAAACTCTACCGGTAGTGGCCTTCAAGGTATCTCTGTATTTGTGTACGCAACTGGGCCATCTTTCTTTCTTTCTTGCACCACGTCACCACGTAGTTTGAATGGTCGGAGAGCAGAGGCAAGTGTCGGAATGTGATGACTGACTTTGATGGTCATTGCTACACCGGTACCTACCGGTACAAGTGAGACTTGGTATGAAATCCACGATTCCTCCGAGCTATATATCACTACAGATCATGCAGATGGGTTGTCGAGGGATCTTTGAGGGTCCAGGAACAGAAGAAGGCTTGATGGCGGTCATCAACTGCACTCCTAGTAGTGAAACTGCATCCACTCAACCGTTGGTGAAGCAGCCACACAAGTGCTCTCTCTCATCACAGCAGACCCTGCATTCCAAGCATTTAGGGCACCCTTCCAGAGATGATAAAGAAGAAGAGAGTCAACGTCAGGATTGCATCCTTGGCATCACTGTTACGTCATATCCCAAGAGCGAAAGATCCGCCCTCAATCCAGAAAGGACAATCAAAATTTGGATGCTTCATCAAGCTCACAATTTCCAAAGCAAATTTGAAGATATCATCAAGCAGGCAATCAACCAAATACCCAACCACACAGTTCTTCAAAGCAAATAACGATGCGCGTTTCCTTCTCCGCTCTCGTTACTCTCTTCCTTGGAACAACGAGTCTCCTCCCCCAGGCTGCCAAAGCTACCGAGCCTGTCGTCTTTGATTACATGGACCCTGACTCCGACTGGCCCTTGTTTTCCACCATTCCAACATCCTTTGGCGATATGCCCAATGAGTGCGGCATGACCGAACGTCAGAGCCCCATTGATATTCCTACCAGTGTGATCAGGTCCCTATGTGAACGTCCTACTACGCCCTACTTTATTGATGGACGAAACACGGTAAGTGCTGGACGATATGTTGGCCCAGGAAGCGTCTTTGCATCCAAACCTTGACCTCACCGTCCATGATCGCCTTGCTTGATGACCCCGTAATATATTGCAGGGCAAATGTGAGTTTTCGGCACTCTCCTTTCCGATTCGTGATGTTGACGTCGGTGTCGACTTGAACGGTTGCACTACAATGCCCTCCATCAAGCTTGACAATGGCCCTAACGGAGACGGGGCCAACTACACGGCACTCCAGTTTCACATCCATACTGGAACTGAGCACTCGTTCAACACGGACTTTGAAGACGCGGAACTTCACATTGTGCATGCCAATATGAATGTCGGTGACTTCACCTATGAAACTGGAGACTTTCAGGTCCTTGGAGTTGTAAGTGAACAAATTGCATGTTCTGGTGATGTCGTGCCTGCCCGAAACTCATGTATGACTATGAAATGTAACCATCCAAAACAGAAAATCCGTGGCGGCGACGGAGCCAGGCCCAACTATCGTTTCGAGAGACTCTTGGTGGAATGGGAAGAGTCTCTTGCACAGACTGAAGCTTCTTGCTCTGGAGAGCTAACTGTGGGCGACTCTACCACTGTGGTGGGAAGGTCACAGTCCAGGCCAACTGGTTCGTTCAACCCATACGACCTCATCCCTGTTGGAACTGACTTTTACACGTACGAAGGAAGCTTGACAGCTCCTCCTTGCTCTCAAACTGTCATGTGGAATCTTGCCACTGAGTTCATGCGCGTTTCCCGTAGCCAGCTCCTTCGTCTTTACAATGTCATCAACAACTACAAGTACCCAATGGGATCCAGCGCCGCTTGCCAGTTCAATGCCAAGCCCGACATTGAAGGATCGACTAGCCGACCTCCACAGCCTCTCAATGGACGCATCGTCAAGAGAACTTGCGGAGGAATTGAGTAAAGTGACAGCTCTGTTGATACGATGTTTAGTTTGGTAAACGTCAAAGCCCTTCGTGGCCATGGGTCGCACGCTGTCGAGAAGAGCAAATCAATTTAGTATACGAATATGCATGAAACTCCAATCTGTGACCAGCAGTATAGCTATAGCTAGGAGCGGTATACACATAATGGTACAGATAACTTCAACCTACTATTGATAGTGCTGTTGCGCCTTCTCGAGGGTGGATACATGTACAGTACATTAGCTAGCAGCAAGCCCGAGTGCATGATGGACCGTCAAAGCCAATCGTACTGGCTGGCTAGCTAGCTAGCAGGAACGTGAGGATGGATTCGTTGTCGTCGTCACGACCCCTGTCATTTCCCGACGCAATAATAAGAAAACGCATGTCACCACTGTCACGACTGCTCCGCTCTCGGGACACGGGTCGTACTCTGGAACGGAGCAACACAGCAACACGGCAAGACAGCAACGCGAATACATCCATCTTAATTCACCGTCGTCGTGGAACCATGCTGGGATCTTTGACATGACACCCACGATGTGACTTGCTGCAATGGACCTTTTCTTGCTTTCTTTCGGCTCACAAATCAATACAAACAGAAACACCTACAACAACAAAGAATACTTTTACATCACCACCTTATGACCCACGCTGCATTTACCCTGCTATGGCTTTTGGCTTTCATACTGGCATTTGTCGAACCAGCAACCTTTGGGTCGTCAAAGATGCCAGCTTTTGTTCCAAGCCACCTGCGGCAGAACCATAGGAAACATTCTAGCACGGCTCATCCTTTAACCTCTCCCATGGCTCTTCATCTTCCAATCAACACAGTGTTACCCAACAAGGCAACAGCGGCCAAAGAGACGTCGTCAGAGGCTTGCACAACGACACAGTTCGAGAATCCTTGGAGCGACGCAAATCTCGAACGGTGCCACCAACTGTGGAATCTCTTGCCCGACGAGATTATGCAACTGAAACTGCTTCAAGCACACCTTTCTGATGTACGCGATTCCTTCGAAAACAACCCTTTTGACGTTGTCCGCTTTCTCAGAGAAAACAAGGGAAACCTCAACATCGCTGAGAAAAAGTTCCGATCCATGTTGGATTGGCGTCACAAACACCAAGTAGACTGCATGTTAGACCCTAACGAGTATCGGCCTCCGTCCTTGTACCGTTACTTTCCGGCTGGTGTCCTCGAGGGGGTTGATAAGGAGGGTGATCCAATCCACTGTGAGCGAACAGGCGATGCCGATAGCAGCGGCCTCTTGAGCCGCTATGGCCGAGATGAAATGCTCAAGCAAGCCATTTGGATTAGGGAGATTCAGAGCCGGGGAAAGTGGCACCAAGATTACGAGAAACGCCAAGGGCATCCTATAAAACAATTTACAGTGGTCCTCGACATGAAAGGTCTCAAGGCAAGGAACATGGGGCCAGGACTGATCTCCGTGAGTCAAGAGGTCAGCCGCATCGTTCAAGACTTCTACCCATACGTAAGTTGTTGGCTGTTTTTGCACCCGAGATCTCTGGCCTCGCTCGCTGCTCCACATTGTCTTTCTGACCGCACCTGAACGTTCTTTGTCCTACATGCAGTACGCCAAGCGAATCATTATCATTCGGGCTCCGGCACTCTTCCAGGTTGCCTTCAATGCCATCAAGCCGTTTCTCGACGAAAGTATGAGAGACAAGATCGTTGTCTCTGGTGGGCACAGGGACCACTGCAAAGTTCTAGAGAAATACATGGACCTCAAAGTGCTTCCCCCCGAGATATGTCCCAGTGGGGATGGCAAGGCGGTGGCAGATTTCCCAAACGTCGTCTGGGAAGGAGGAAAAATTCCCGACCATGAAGAGGACCTTTCGCTCCAACAAGTTGTTACCCTGCAAGCAGATTCAGTTATTGGCGTAGAAGTGGCTCAAGCCATCAGCGGTGGAACAAATGTTTCTGATACTGATAGACCCCTCGCGGTTACAGTGGGACACGTATCCAAGCCCCTAGAGACCTTCTTATTACAAGGAGGAACACAGAGTTTGGATGTGTCATCAGAAGAAAGAAGAAAGGGTAGCAACTGGGTTCAGCGACAGCTTGAGCTTTTCCAAGCCACGTTCTCATCATTTGAGGCAGGCGATTCTTCTGCTTCATACGCCATTTAGAAGTCCAGGGGACACTCATTGTGTACGTAATAGAATCATAGATATAGAATTCATAATTAAGACAGAAGCAGCAATCAGAGATCATCCTCCCGATCAACATTCTTAAAGAAAGAAATCTAAATAAGCTTCAACAGCTAGCAAGATAGGTCGTTTTTGAAAGGAACCAGCAATGACATGCATGGTGGTGCGGACTGATGGGTCGAAGTGTTGGCCCGGACTGTTTGCTTTGGAGCCGACCTGGAAATTCGAACGTAACCGGCAATTGGAAGGGTTTTCGGTGTACCAAGCAAGAAGCCAGCAGAGCCGAGATTGAAAATGCAACGGGGGGATCTTTTTCGGGGTGGATCTTTTGCTTCTTCATGAAATGGCCAGACCCTCGGAACACCTCACAATTCCCAAAGTAAAAGCCCATCTACTGTACTGTACTTTTTGCAATGGCTTTTTCTCACCCTACTATCTCCAACGACAAGTGGGCAGCTGTGGCTGGTACTGCCTTTGCTGGCATTGCCACAGGATGCCTTACGTTTGTAAGCTTTGTGGATGCGCGCAGTTTTCTTACTCATGTGGACAAGAATGAAAACGATCTGATCCAACGACATTTCCCCGTGTGGTGGCCCAATGGTCGTGATCTCATGGTGCCAGTCCTCTTGAGTGGCGCGGCATCCAATACGTTGGCCTATCTGCGAACAAACCACGTGCATTTTGCTATTACCGCGGGGCTGTTGGGTTTGATTGGTCCCTACACCGCCATTATTTTGGGCGAAGATATTGAAGCTCTGCGCCAATCCGATCTGAAAGAAGTGGGAGAGACGGCCCGAAGCTTCTGCAATCTACATCACCCCAGGCTCATTGCTGCGGCTGCTGGCTTTGGATTGGCCTTGGTGGCACTGGCAGATCTTTGATTGATGTATACCAGTAGCGGTACCGTTAGAACGCGAATGAATCGAATCGAATCTTTTAGTTTCTAAAAGGCCGCTCTCTACCCAAGGGACTAAAGTAGCGACTAAAGGTTTCCTTTAGGTGGTTGTTTAGTTCAAGATTTAGTCATTATCCTTTAGTAATGGTGGTGTCTACCAGCAGATGACTAAATCTCGGACTAAACAATTTAGTCCAGTTTTTAGTCAAAACATGGTGTCTACCATGGCGACCTGGCGACTAAACAAATGACTAAACGGAACACTACTGGACTTAAAGGACTCAAAAAAGATTTAACAAAAGTGATCGCTACCAATATTCTATCAGCATGATGGATTTAAAGGACTCAAACAAAGATTTAACAGAAGTGATGATTACTTTTTTGAGATAATAAGACTGAGATAACAAGACTCAAAACACACCATCGGTCATCGGTCGATCGTTCGTCGTTGCACCTCTACTCTCTCTTTTTGCACCTCTACTCTATCAGCTCTGTCACGATGCTCTGATAGTGAGGCTGTGCAATGAGGCTGCTGTTTTTTTTTGAAGAGTGCGACCGGATCGTTTGCACTCTACTATCATTCAATCGTTCGTTCGTTCGATCGTACTCCTCTTCGATCGTTCGGAACTCCACGAAGGCACCTCTGTGGTAATCCTGTTGGAATTTGTTATCCAACTTGGTGTGCAGTGGTATTGTTTTGCACCTCTACTCTATCAGCTCTGTCGCGATGCTCTGATAGTGAGGCTGTGCAATGAGGGTGCTGTCTGTTCTTTTTTTAAAGCTGTTCTTAAAGAGGCTTTAGTCGTTATGTTCGCTCACCGACTAACCAGCCTCCCGTTAGTCGGTGAGCGAACATAATGACTAAAGCCTTTAGTCCGTGGGACGTTTAGTCGCTTGGGTAGACACCACCCCCAGAGACTAAACTATCAACTAAACTACGAAATATGGCTTAGTCGCTACTTTAGTCGCTTGGGTAGAGAGCGGCCTAATTAAGTTTTAAAAAACTAGAAACTTCTAAAATAGGTTGAGATGACGGGCTCTGTACGTACCCTCCTCAGGATAGGTCAAAATGGATTGCAAATTCAGGGTAGCACGAGCAGTCATCATAGATGATGTACTCATTGTGTAGCTGCTTATGGGCGTGGGGTGCATCTGTGTGGTTTCTTTTTGCCATTGCAGAATCGTAGCCAAAGTCAGGAAATAGCTTTCGGGGGCAGGTCCGAGGGAGTATCTCTTGTCGTCCAAGCACAACACGGCAAACCAAAATGACGCCATCTCGTGCTGTGAATTGGCTGGCCTTGCAGGCATTGTCTGTAAAGTACAGCCCTTTTCCGTACGAGAGTCCGCGATCCAACGAGAATTTGGTCTTCAATCCGTGCTCCACGATGAGATCTAGGTTGGTTGATTTGGTACCATGGAGCAGGTACACGCCATTTGCTTCAGAGCTTAACCCGTTCTTTTGTGACAGCTTCTTCAACCAATTTGGCAGCGAGTTAGTTTCATTCGATGCCAATCCTCTGGATTTCATCTTCCTTGCAACCATAGTCTCGTGGCGTTTGTATTGCTCGAACACATCCACGTTTTCCAGTCGCTGAAGCTTCCTCACCTTGAACGTCGTGAAGTTGTTGAAGTTGGGGCACCCTGACGGATTCTGCTTGCAAAAGGCAAGTGTAGACTCGTTGAGCATTGTCTCTGCCATGAAATAGTTGTAGCCACCAACCTTGTAGTCATCTTGTAAAGTTGGTTCGTCCCCAACAGATGCCCTGAAATAGCTTGGCAGCTCGATTATGAGCAACGGTTCGCCTTGGGAAGATCCATTCTCAATCAGATACTCGTCGTCGCGCAGCATGCCAAGTTTTCTCAAGGCCTTGGCCACATTCTTGTTGGCAAGTGGCTTGATATCCTCAAAAGCGCCAATGGACTGTAGAGATGCAACGACTCCACCATCTTCCACGGAACGGATTCTTCCGTCTGATCGTTTTGCCTCTGCACTCATGGCACGAGCTGCCTCAGATCCTTTGACGATGCCATTGGGCCTGTATCCGAGGTGCTGAGCTAGATCCACCCCCCTCGACTGAAGCCTCTCACATGACACCTCCGTCAACGCCAACGTACGGGCGTGCAGTAGAACGATGGTGTTCCTGTCGCTATGACATACTGGTATTTGAGCCACCATGGTACATTAGCTCATGCGCCTTTCCCGGCTGCATGCATTGAGCTCGTAGCTCTCTATGGTACACTCCAGAAGGATGTCCAGCTAGCTAGTGTGAAAATTTCCAGCAACGTGACAACGGTACAGGTTTCACATACATGAAAACCGAGACGAAGAGGAAGCCGAACCAGATCTTGACGGTCCATCCATGGCGGCACGAGTAGTGCTTGAGGCATTCGCGCGCTTCATCAGGCTGCCTCGCTCCATTGGTTCCATTGGTGAGCTAGCTAGGGTACCTGGATGTGGTGGTATTTGGACCGATGGAAGTGACAGTCCGAAAGAGGCTTTCGCCCCCCAAACAGACTTTCTTGCCTTTAGAACCGTTATGCACACGCAGCCTCTTCGGTTAGGTTCACAGCCTTTACTAAATAGTTATGATGTCATATCACGGAATATTCGATTGCTACATGTTGTAGAGTTCCTAGCTAGCTAGCTAGCTGGGGACTGTTCCGATCTACTTGGTGGCTGCGACTTGCCTTGGTAAGTGACGGCACCGATCTCTTTGGATGGCAGGCATGGTGTTGACGGTGCGAGCTACCATACCGGCACGTACCCCTTTGCACAGCCCGGCTTTCATTTGAAGGTCCAGAAATGGAAGGTGCGTAACTCATGTGTTGATATAAAACAAGCAAGAACTCTACTTGCAGCCAGAGGACTGAGGCAGCCAAGCCAAACAAGGCTTTCATCTCTCGGAACAAGCAAAGGAGTCAGTATATATATACCCTACTGTATTGAGTATTTTTGCAAGATCTGGCTCTAGCTAGCGGGTAGATACCGGTACTCTGTTGCAAGACCTCTTGAAAGCAGAACTCTTGATTGCTTGTACAATTGTGTGCGAGAGCTGTTGCGAGGACCTGTGGCCTCGTGGTGTGGTGTGGTGTGGTCCAATGAAGAGATGATGAGGGGAGAGAGGTCCGCATTTTGGGGTTGTTCCGAATTTGGGGGTACAGGTACCGGTATGAACCACGACTAATGACGGTACCGTAAGATAAGTGTGTGTTTCTATAAAAAGGGGCCATTGTCTCTAAGTAAAATTGTCGTTTCAAGGTGTTCAGTGATGGTTCCGAGTCTGGGATGATCCCAAGAAGCAATGAACTGCCAAGACGGTGTTGCTGGGCTTGCACGGCGTTCCCCATACCAGCCACAGCCTTCCCTATCGTATTGATCACAATCTTTTTGCCAGAGTAAAAGACTTGACAGACAGATTCGCCATAGAAAAATTTGACGGAGCATAAAGAACGATCGATCAAGTCAATCATGTTTGGATCCAAGCAACAGCAACAACAGCAACAATCGTGGACGATTGCTCACTTGGCTACGGAAGAACCCGAGGCGGCTGCTTACTTGGATGATTGGGACGACTCCACCTTGGCTTCGACTCTGTCCTTGCAGCGTGACAGCTGCTGTGGGACCACCATCCTCCGCAATGCCGGAGAACCTTCGACGATCATCATTTCAAGGGAGAAAGAACAAAAGCAACTCCGCTTCTTGGCGGGTCCCGGAAAGGCCATGGAGAAGTTGCTGCGATTGATCCGTCTCATCTTCAAGAGGTTGGCTTTGGAGCGAAAGAGTTCGGCCATGTCCATGGCATCCTCCTACCAGCCTTCTCTGGGAGTCAATGGGGTCATGGTGTAGAAACTGGATCGCGATGTTTGTAGTTTGTGTGTTTTGTGAGGAAAGACAAGAAAATGAAAGAAAAACAGCTGTGATCTGACAACAAGATTGCATATATACACGTACCAAAGGTTAGTTGAAGGCTGAACAATGCTCTGCAATTCATATGTAGATGGTCCAAAGACCACACGTGCAGCAGCAAAAATAAAAAGGAAAGTAAGCCGTGTTAACCTGATATACCCGCTACCCGCTCCTGAACTTTGTCATTAGCGTTAGCTTCGGCTGTACTGTACAGCCAGGCAGCCCGGACGGTGGTTGCTGACCAAAAAGGAATGTTCACGGAAGCTTGGTCTCTTTTTTCACCCAACTTTCTGCTCCTCCTCCCATCGCATGGTCAACGCCAGCATCGTTCCCCCTTAGGTTGCTGTGGATGCTGCGTCATTGCTCGGGTCGCGGTTCCAAGGCAGCAGTCCCCGAAGAAGATTGACACGCCATGAACCACCTCCAATCGGCTCTGCAGCTTTCAGAATATGGTCATAGCTAGTGACTAAGTCTAATGTGCGTCCTGAAATTTGGAACCAAAACCAGGGCGTGGACATCAGTGGTCACATTGTATCCACGCTGTCTACTCAGCTACGGTGGTCACCAACACAATATATAAGGGGGTTTAGACAAAGCAGCCACCGCTATTCTCTCTCTATCAACAGCACCACCATCACAACCACACCAGCCACCGCTATACCCGCACCATGAATACTGCCACTCCTCCTAGTACTAGTGATAACACTGCTTCCAATGATAAAGGTACTAGTACTGCCGAGTCGCCTCTTCTGTTTGCTGACGATTTGATTTGGAGTGGCCAGATTCTATCGTTTGTGGGTGTTGGACAGTATGCTTTCGTGGGGGCTGTCAACAAGAAGATGAATCGACTATACAAAGAGTACTGCAAAGTTGAACTAAAGAAAAATCCAAGAAAGGTAAACGATAACCCTGCTGGATACGTATGGATTTCTTCCGGGCGCTCTGCGGAAAGCACTGATACTCTTTACAGCGAAACATTCTGCAATCAGCCACGTGCAGAATACTGGCTCGTGGACAATTCCAGAAATAAGAAACCTGATCGTCATCATGTTTGCACTGCCATTGCCAAAATTGGAAATCTTGCTGTCATGAAATGGGCACGACAAAAAGGATTCCCATGGGATGCAAATACATGTTGCTATGCTGCACTATATGGACACTTGGAATTGCTCCAATGGTTAAGACAGAATGGTTGTCCATGGAATGAAAATACATTTGCATCCGCTGCTGGAGGTGGACACTTGGAATTGCTCCAATGGTTAAGACAGAATGGTTGTCCATGGAATGAAAATACATGTTGGGCTGCTGCAAAAGGCCATTTGGAAATTTTGAAGTGGGCTCGTGAAAATGGCTGTCCGTGGGATGAATGGACATGCACCTTAGCTGCTGAAAATGGCCATTTGGACATTCTAAAGTGGGCTCATGAAAATGGTTGTCCATGGAATGAATTGACATGCCGTGGTGCTGCTGAAAATGGCCATTTGGAAATTCTGAAGTGGGCTCGTGAAAATGGTTGCCCATGGAGCAAATGGACATGTAGAACAGCTGCTGAAAATGGGCATTTGAAAATTTTGAAGTGGGCTCGAGAAAGTGGCTGTCCATGGGATGAAGATACATGTGTCGGTGCTGCTAAGAATGGACATTTCGAAATTCTAAAGTGGGCCCGTGAAAATGGTTGTCCATGGAATGAACGGACATGTCACGCTTCTGCTGAAAATGGCCATTTGGAAATGCTCCAATGGTTAAGAGAGAATGGTTGTCCATGGAATGGAGGGACATGTGCCTATGCTGCTGGAAATGGCCATTTGGAAACTTTGAAGTGGGCGCGTGAAAATGGTTGTCCATGGAATGCAGCGACATATCGTTATGCCCGCAGGAATAAACAAAGTGAAGTGCTCCAGTGGCTACGTGACAATGGCTGCCCTAGGTAATACGGCAGAATCATTGATGTAAGATCCCCACGCAAACCATAGAGATTGAAAATGGAGGATATCCAAGCATAACGTCCTTCGGAGACTGTAGAGTGCAGTAGAACACTTCTATTATCTATTCTTTAATAATACATGCTTAGACAGAGGAGGTATCCTCATCAGTGGCAACAGCCCCAGTTGGCACTGACCTGAGAACTCGACGGTTGGCATGCATTCTTGCCATACAGTACCCTCGAAATTTCCGCACAGAGGACCCAGTATAGATGTTGTGCATTATTTACCCACAAACCTTGGGTATTTTACAACAATGAATCAATGGAATGCCCATGGCCATGGAAGGTTGATGCAATCTGTGCACAACATTGGTCAAGTTTGTTGGCAATCGGCACAACATCGACGCCATGAAACATCTCCAATAGCTCTGCAGCGTTCTGAACTTGGACAAGATGGCGATCTTTCTACCACCTGTTCGTCGTCGACCATGATGTATTGACAAGACCGACTTTTTTCCAAACTAGCTAGTGACAATGACAAAGGATTCAACGTTAAAGGAAGCTGGTCGACAGCTGGAAGAAGAAGTGGAGCGTCAGATGGCTCTGTGGGGCACCTCAGAATGGACGGCAGCAGCAGAAGAAGAAGAGCAGACCACAAAGACAACTACCGGTACCGCCGATACAGTTGACCCTGATGATCCCGATGCCATGATGGCTCTCTTTTATGCCAAACAAAATGCTGCTGCAGCGGCTGCCGAATCCTTGCCCGTGAAAGTATGGGCTCGCAATATCGTTTCATTGTCTAAGCAGAGTTCTATGCAAGAGTCTTCTGGTCCCAACCAACCACAAACCAGCAATGCGCTTCTACATGTAGAACAAGAGAAGAAACTTCAGGAGAGGCAATCCGCATTGGTGGATCATCTCTGCCTGCAATTCTTGCAATATCAAGCAGCGTGAGCTGGTCCTGTTGCTGGGCTCACGGCACAGTAGTAGCTAGGTAGAGTGAGCCAGAAATTCAAATGGTTCATAGCTGCCGGTACTATACTGGACACATCTTTTTGTAGCTTTAGAAGGAATGATTCAATCTTTCGTCCAGAAATGGTTTGGATTTGGCTAATACCGTAGTGTCATGAAAATAACTTTGATTGGCAATCATATTATGCTTGAGGTTGTGGTAGCCACAGTCCTCTGATCCGTCTATCTGCCTGTGCCCTGGTTAGGGGGCTAATACGCGTGGGTTCTGTTGTCACCCATCGAGCTGCTGGGCACAGCTAACTCAACGTCCACTTCTCTCCTCTATATTGTTGAGCTTAGAAAATGTCTATAGATCGTGTCATTGCGTTACAATAAATTACTGGTACCGGTATGCTCGCTTAGGCAAGAATACTTTAGCTGGCTGGCTAGCTAGAGTAGTCGCTGAATCGAATCGAATCGAATCGAATTGGAACGAGACCGTAGCAGTGCCTCGCAGAGAGAATGTCAGCCAATGCATTGCATGGTGCGTCAATCATGCAGTAGATAGTCGCGCCGACTGGGAATGTCTTCCCGATTCTCTAATGTCCCTGACGGCATTGTAGAATCCGTCTAGCCAACTGCTGCTCCGATGATTTCCCTCGTAGATTGGTAGCGGCTCTTGCAATGCATTACCAATGCCGTGTCCGTGCATATTGTTGTCTTTTTGGTTGTACCGGCAATCGTCAAGTGATTGCCGTTGTTGTGATGATATCATATTCATTTCGTGATCGTCGTCGTCGTGTTGCACGATAGGAGCTTCTGTTTCGAGAAACTTGTTTCGGTTACTCGTCGTAACCAATGATTCTGGGGTTTGTTGTGTATCGGTTATTGTAGCATCGGATGTCAATGTACTAGCTTCTGTAGTTGTCGTGTTTGTAGTAGCCGTGGTGTCGGATTCGAGTGATACTCTGGAAATTTCTTTGTTGGTGTTCGCAAGATTTGTGAACGGGAACTTTTCCACCGAGGTTGGTGATTCTGGCTTGAGAACGTGTTGCGTTTGACCGGTCGAGCCAGCACTGGTCGTCGAGCTGTCATCTACTACGCCTCCATCTCTTGCTTTGGTATCATGATTGTGATTGTCGTTGTCGTTGGGAGATTTAGTTGTTTTCGGGTCGTGATTACCTGGAGTATCTTTGACGTTGGTGGTGGCAGTGGTAGCCACAAAGACAGCAAGAGCCGCACTGGCGACAGTGCTTTCGCTATCGCGACGTAGAAACGACGCTTTGGTATCATGATTGTCGTTGGGATATTTCGTTGTTTTCGGGTTGCGATTACCTGGGGTATCTTTGACATTGGTGGTGGCAGTCGTAGCCATAAAGACGGCAAGAGCCGCACTGGCGACGGTGCTTTCGCTATCGCGACGTAGAAACGACGAATCATCGAGAAGGCTTGTCGGTGTGTTGTTGTCCTGACTGCTGCTGGTATCCATTTTTCCAAGAAGGGAGAGCTGTCGAAGGAGGCTGTTTGCAGCAAAGACGATGGAAGGTCGAACGTTGCTCACTCCAGCAAACGAGGCATTATTGTTGTCTTGACCACCACCACCACCACCACCACCACCACCACCAAAGCTGTCAAAAGCAGTTTCCAAATCCTTGGTGATTCCATTGAGATCATCGGCAAAGTCGACTTCGATTTGATGAAGATGTCTTGTGCTTTTTTCGCTACTAGTACCCAAAACTCCTGCTGCGAGCGCATTGCTGTCTCGTTGTTGCTGCACGTCCTCGTCGTCTTGTTCCATTTCTGCCAATCGGTGTTCCAAACTGATCACCGTTCGATTGTCGGCGAAATCACCATTCTGGCTATTCATGTCGCCAGATTTCGAGGCAGCAGACACGAGGCCCATGGGCGCATAGTCATTGATAAAATACTCTCCATCCGAGCTGGAGTCGTCCTCGTCTTCGGAATAATCGAAATGTTCTCCATAGTCTTGAAAGAGAGACACGATTGGTTGCAGTTCATCGCCGTCCAATTCGGATAACCTTTGTGATATGTTTCGTAGTGTTTCATTTTCATCTTCTTCTTGATCACTGTCGCTGTCGTTGTTGTAGTATTGGTACTCGAGCTCTTCGTCTTCTTCTTGGCCTTCTTTGAGTGACGATAGTGTCCCTCGTCTGACAGAAGTATTGCTTCTTTTCACCAACATGCTGAGGTTTCGTGTCCAGGTAATAATGGGTGGTTTTCGCAAGACAATGCGGTATTCCGTGTTGGGATCACCCACGGAAGGAATCCGTAATAGGCATTTCCTGTCTTCCGCCTGGTGCTCCGTCTTCTGATGGTCCTCCGTATGACGTTGATCAGGCTGCTGATTCTCGGTCTGAGTCGGATGCTCCTCAGGTGGATTCTTTGTGTGGTTTTTGGTGGCTGATCCAATGTGTGCCCTCATGGGCAAACGGGGCTTCCTGAGGATCACATTGTATTCCGTGTTCGGATCAATCACTGAGGGAATCGTCAGCAAGGAGCTTCGTCTGCTGCTATTACATGCCGTAGGAGGATCTGGAGGAGTTACTGCCATGGCTTGCTCTGCGCTTCCTGAGGCTTCGTCATCTTCCTCTTGCTTTGAAGGTTCTGCTGATGCTGCTGATGCTGTTTCTTCCCCTCTTTCCGACACGTTTGCTATTCCCTCCTCTCTTCTTGAAGCTTCTGAAGCTTCCGAGGCATCTGATGCTGGTTGGTCGTCCTTGTCTTCAGTGCCGTCATCTTGTATCTGAGGTGTTTGTTCCTTTTGCTGATTGATGTTTCGTTGGTTTTCTTCTTTGGACCTCAGAATTTCTTCTTCATCAATCGCCTGCTGTCGTCGGGTTGCTCCTTCTGCCTCCAGCAATTCTTGGCGAGAATGAATCAAAGGAGAAACGTTCTTCCCACTGTTGCCATCCAATCTCTGGCTTGTTGCGCTGCTGCTTTCACTGCTTTCACTGCTTCCGTCCATTCTGTGTCTACTCTCCTGCTGCTGGCATAAGGCTGTCTGCTCTTGTTGCTCTTGCTCTTCCTGCTGCTCTTGCTGCTCTTGCTGCTCTTGCTGCTCTTGCTCTTGCTGCTGCGGTTGTGTCTACCAAACTCGTTTTGTGTGCTTTTGGTTGGTTTGTTGCGAGCATGCTTCCGTTGCATCATGGCGAAAGGACAGCGTTTGTCGGAAGGAAGAGGGCTGTAGCACTGCGTCTGACGTCTTTCTTAGTTCTAGGTCACTTCTGGGTCCCTTCTGAAAGACAAATTAATTAATGCGAATAACTCAATCAGAAGCATTTTCGGGACGCAAGATTTAGTGAGCCCTGTCAAGAATTGTTCTACAACCTTCTCGTTCAGAAGCAAGAACCCAATCAGAAAATACCTGTTTTGGCTTGTTTAGGGTTCATTCGATCATGCATGGATCCACGATCGAACGAGCCATGATGCAGCTGTCGTGGGTTCGAATGCGCTGGACTCTGCCAAAGGCAGCAACTCGAATGAGAGTGCTGAAGTTTAGATCCAGACAAGCCTCCATACAAGAGTTTTGGTTGCCGAGCCGTGCACCTCTCAGGCACCTCCTCGGCTTCTTCTGATATTCCATCACTTCACGCAATCTGCCACCGATCACAATGGGCAGCATCAGCACCGGCACCGCTAATAACATGTCTTTTGGAGACTTCTTGAAACACGATGAAGTTTGGATTCAACAGATTCTGCCATTTCTTGGACTGGGCCATTATGCTTTTATTGGACCAGTCAACAAGAAGATGAATAGACTCTACAAAGAATATTGGAGCCACAAGGGGCGCCCAGCAGGAAGCACAGGCACACTTTACAGCGCCGCATTCGCCACTGTGTCCTGTGCTGAATATTGGCTCAGGGACAGTTCCAGCAATAAGGAACCAAGACCTCCTCATGTTTTGAAGGCTATTGCCAAGGCTGGAAACCTTGTGGTCATTCAATGGGCATGGCAACATGGTTTCCCATGTGATGAGGATACATTTGAAGCAGCTGCTGGAAATGGACACTTGGAAGTTCTCCAATGGTTGTGTGACAATGGTTGCCCATGTTACCAATGGACATGTAGAGCAGCTGCCCTAAATGGACATCTGGAACTCTAAAATGGTTGCATGCAAATGGTTGCCCATGGGACGAGGATACATTTGAAGCAGCTGCGGGAAATGGACACTTGGAAGCTCTCCAATGGTTGCATGAAAAAGGTTGCCCATGGAGCAAATGGACATGTAGAGCAGCTGCCCTAAATGGGAATCTGGAAGCTCTAAAATGGTTGCATGCAAATGGTTGCCCATGGGATTCCATGACATGCTCAGCTGCTGCTCAAAATGGATACTTGAAAATTTTGAAGTGGGCTCATGAAAATGGTTGTCAATGGGATTACAAGACATGTGTCTATGCTGCCAAAAATGGTCATTTGGAGCTTCTGAAGTGGGCTCATGCAAATGGTTGCCAATGGAATCCAATGACATGTCAGGAGGCTGCTAAGAATGGTCAGTTGGTCGTTTTGAAGTGGTTGCGTGCAAATGGCTGTCCGTGGAATCAAAAAACATTTCTTGCTGCCAGCGGCCATGGGCAAAGTGAAGTGGTGCAATGGCTGCGTGACAGTGACTGCCCTGGATCTCATGCTGAGGGGTACTAATATTATTTGAGGCAAGGAATTACGTGTGTGAGTTAGCGCATCTATTCCGAATCGACCAAAAACCCAATCAGACAAAAGCAACAACCCCAGAGAAACCAACGCTGTTGGCTCTCAAAAGCCTAGCTAGCTATAGCTAGCTAAAAGAAATAGCTGAGTGAGAGAAAGGCCGCTCCACGGATCTGCTTGATTGGTCTCCGATGTTGAAACCATTATGACTGCATCCACGACCGGAGCATCTAGTAGAAGCTTTCTGGCAAGGGAAAGCGAATGGCAGTCTTGGTTGGATGGAACCCGAAACCTGTTGCCAATTACAGTTTATAGATGTCTTGATCTGCTACGAGTATACTCGAGTAACTTTCTCTTTTTGTTCCCGTCTTGTCAAGATACGTGCACGCACGTGCTGTGTACGGGCAACAAACGAGGAAGCCTAAACTTACTTGTAGTTATGCATGTAGTTATGTATGTATTCACAGACCTATACTATACGATGGGTCAGATTTCTCCAGCTTTTCAGACCGTTCCTTGACGACTCACGGCGGGGAACAGTTACGATCATCGACCCAACTGATCCATGGACTTTTCAATGGCCATGGGATAGTAATACCAAAATTCTTGCAATAGATTGCAAATGGGTCCATTGTTTGCGTCGCGTTCCGTTTGCTGAAAGTACGTGACGATGTGTTCATTCGTATTATTTGTTGGATCCTGTACATGGGCTGTATGATCATGGCGAAAGAGATGGTCCTGGGCCCGCATATCGGCCACGACCCAGCGATAGTAGTACATGAACTCTTGAAAGACATTCTGGAATTGGGGTGTGGTGACGCCACGTCGTTGGAGTGTAAGGGGGATTTGATGATGATGGGGCGGTGAACCGGAGTCGGGTTGATCTTGATTTGCTGGATCGTCACTCTTGTTCGTGGCGGGGGATGGTAGAGTGATTGCTTCTTGGTGAGCGTCGTCTGTGTCTTCTCCGTTGCTCTGAGTTTTCGTCTTGATCTTATTCTTGCTAAGGTCTAATTGCAGAAAAGGACTGGGTGACAAGGCAAAGTCTTCGTCCTCTTCCGTGGTATCGTCTTCTTCCTCTTGGCCGACGAATGCTCGTTTCTTTCGAGACGACAGTACGAGTTGTTCGAGGAGTTGCTTTTCCGAATCCGTGGTTTCGTCGTCTCGTGTCCTCAGTGCCTGAATGGATGCCAATTCCAACTCAATATCAAATTCCGCATTGTTGGGCGTTTTGCAAGAGGGCGTCAGACTTGCCGTCTCGGCCCAGCATTCTTCCAGGCTCAGATTGCTTTCCAAATGACGAGGCACTGACACGTACTGAATAGGGTGGACATCACCAGCCCCATTCTTCGTGGAACTATTAGTAGTAGTGTTGATGTTGACAGTACCTTGGTGATAATGGTAGCTTAGGAGACTTGCGTCATCGTCGCTGTAGTCCGATGCCACCGAGCCAAAACACTGCTCTTGCAATAGAGCAATCGACTGACGCTTCTGGAGATATTCCAGGTCTTCCTTGGAAGGATGATCACTACACTGTGTACTTACTACTTTCTTTGTCTCTTTGGTCTGCCTCTGACTCCCCAAAAACTTGGCGAACTTGGACCACAAGGCAGGACGACTACGAAGTGACACGCGATACTCGGTCGAAGGATCACCCCAACTAGGAATCGTCAGCAGCATCACACGCCCCTTATTGTCGTCATCCTTATCCCCTCCACCGTCCTGGGGTTTTGCCATCTTGCTGTATGAATAAGCTTGTCTTTTTGTCTTTTTGTTGGTTGTTTCTTCTTGTCTCTTTATTACTTCTTTCTCGTTTGTTGTCAGGAAGCAAAATTCTTCTGCCAAAATAGCTTCTGTTTCCAGGCAAGATAGATAGATGAAGCTTTGGAAGCAGCTGATGAAGTGGGAGCAAGGTTGTCATTGGCAATCACTGACGTGCCCCTGGAAACTTCTTACGAAGGTGCTGTACTGAAAACCACTCACTACTGCGCACAACCATGTGTAAGATCACTTCAAGAGGGACTGAAACGAAACAATGTCTCTAATTAACACTTTGAAAAGGTGTCAAAGTTTCACTCAATCAACCTCTCAATCTTATTTCTTTTGATTGCGAGCTTCTTGTTTTTCTCCCCCTCCAAATGCTCCTTGCTCCTCATTGGAAGCTTTCTCGTCTCGAGCAAACATCACAGCATAGCATCACCAAGTTAAAAATCCATAGCTAATCCATGCAGTGGAAACTTGTGGAAAGATTGTTGTCACATTTTGCTCCAGAAGCTTGACGTCACGACAACTCAGAATTCTTACGATCCTTTATTTAGCCAGCAGATCTATTGTGAACATTTGGGCCTGTCAGCAAGCCGTAGACATGAGAGTCAAACTCGAGCTCAAACTTACTTGTGCGTAGCGGTACCGTCACCGAACATTGTGCAAACCGCCTCTTGCTCCATGTACCGCTGCTATCATACCGGTAGAGAAGGGAGGCTGGGATATCCAGTGAAATTTGCGGAAGTAGCTACCAGGTACTGTAGCAAAAGTTATGTAGCTATAGTTATGTAGCAAAAGTTATGTAACAAATGTAGGCTAGTTAGCTCGGCAAGGCTTCGCAATCCAGAGGGATTCTTTTTCCTAGTAATCAACTTTGGCCAGTACGGAACGTGCGGCGCTGCATGCAGTCGCAACCAGCTGATTCTTCCTCCTTCACCATTCACACGTCTATCCATGCATGATCTATGAAGCGGTGGCAGAGTCGGTAGCAAAGACATACATGTGCTGACTGCGCACCTCCCGGATGGCATTACAATAGTAATACGAAAACTCATGAAACACACTGTCAAACTCCGCGGGCGGCCTTTCATCCTCTAACTCAGCCTTCTCTTGTTCGAATGCGTACCACGTATCATCATCATCATGGCCATGCTCTGTAGATAAAACGGTATCTTCGGCAACGCTTGGAGAACTGCATTCCTTGTTATGGTACTTGCAACTTGAATCGCACAGTTCCTCAGTAGCAGACTCAGTAGTAGAGGGTCTTCTGGATTCTTCCTGTGGCATTGATAACCATTGTGGTGGCACATCCAAATCTCTTGCAGATGTGGCTCGTCCAAGTAACAGACACTCAGAATCAGAACATACAGTGGCTTCCTCATTGACACCACAGTGTTTAGCTTCGGGATGTTCCTCATCCTTGATCGCATTCTTGGAGCTACTAGAGCTCAGTTGAAGAAAGGGGGTCATGTCCAAGTCACCAAAGTTAAATTCAGATACACTGCTGGCACTACTTGCACTGCTGGAACTGCCGAGAGTACAGAAACTATCATAGAAACTATCATAGAAACTGCTTTCAACAGCAAAGTCATCCTCGTCTTCATCATCTTGCTTGTCTGTGCAGGTGATACTTTCACTATCATGCACCAGATATCCTGGTCCTTCTTCTTCCAGCAGTTGAAGGCATGACTCCAACTCTTGCTGCGTTGCAGAAAGCTGTTCTGGTTTTGTTTCCTCTGTACTAGCAGCCATGGAAACCCTACCAGTACCTGCGATTCCAGTCGGATAGCTACCAGTGTGGGGTCTGCCTGGTTCTGCCGTTTGTCTTTCAACGGCACCAGCACCCATTCCATTCCTCCCTGAAGAAGAGAAGCGATTGATCATCTGGCTCCACTCGGGGCGAACACGTACTTGGATTTCTGTCAGTGTTTTTGGGTCCCATGCAACTGGTATTTGCATTACACAGCTGCTTTCCTCTTCTTCTTGGATGGCAGGGAAGCGCTCTATCATCATGTCTGTTGTTTACTGATGAATGGAAAAGTTTTGAAGTTTTTTTTTTTGTGGGCTCCCTTGAATTCTGGGTCACATCGAATCGCCATTCCAATCCTGGGATTTGGGGCGACATAAGATCAGAAACTGGTACCTACTGTACCGTACGTACTACGTACATTCTCTTGTGGTACCGCGAAGCCTGACCACTGAAGATTGCTTCGGCGTTCCATTACATAAAGGACCAAAACCAAGAACAACTGTTGGACATTCCTTCAGCATTCGATGGTTCTTGCCCTTAGTTTGTGCAGTAAACCAGTCGCAATGTTCCGAAAAAGAATACAGAAAGTTGCAGGCCTCGAAAATAGCACGGAACTATTACCGTAACGATAATAATATGAAACTTGGAGGGCCTGCTGCCTGCCCTCTGCTCTCAGCGCTGCATGCAACGCAGCGAGGAACCGGTACATGGACACATACCGTAGACGCAAAGAATATCGTCGGTCAATCTTGGACTAGGTTCTCGGTTTCCAATTTCTCGATGAAAATTCCCACAGATGTACATGAATTTTGTCATTCGGTAGTACTATAACTGCGCGTGCATCGAGCAGCGAGAGAGGTAAGGCCAACTGTCGGTCTTTCTTTTGCATCCGGTAGAGGATTGTGTTTTGGCTGCCAAGACAGCATCGTTCGGTACTGCAGTTGTACAACTGCAGAGATTACAGATCCGTACATAGTACCAAAAGGTAAACAATCCTTTGTTCCTGGCTTCCTGTTCCAGTGAGGAACGATGACCAATGATCCACTGAAGATTCATCTGGATCCCCAGGCGTGGAGTTTAACAAAAGAAGCAACTACTAGTATGTTACATTGTTACATGTCACATGTCATGTACTGTCTAGCTAGCTAGTGTAAACTGTCGAGGTAGCAATTGACTTCCTTGCTGTTCCTACGTACTAGCTAGAGCCAGTACATGGTTCTCACTTTTGTTTTCGGGGAAACCTCGTCCTTCTGGAAATCGCGCTGTAAGCGTTGTTCCGTACCGGTACTGTACCGTACTGGCTGTAGGTGCTGCGGCAGGCCGGCGCACGGTTGTCATCATGTTTATAACAACACCTCGTACGGGCATCGGTACGTACCTGGAACTAAAGATAAACTATGTGGCTCAAGATGGATGAGCTGACACGCCACAACTGCTGATCTCTGATCTTCATTGTTGGCTTTTTTGTAGGCCTCCGCCAGGTCAGAGCTTTTGAGTCAACGAGGAACACCAACTGAACCAGTACAGGTACCGGTACCTGCCGGTATTAGCTACATGTAACTGGACAACTTGTGCATACTTCATGTACAATATCCTTGTTTCAGTTGTGACTTACTACATGCAGCTAGTGATTGTTTAGCCATGGATCAGGATATCCTGGCAGGGACCTGATCAAAGTAATTGTTTTCTACACCTGCAACAGTCAAACAGAGGCTCGGGAGTTGCTAACGAGAACCGCCACGGGCGGATCCACCATGAATGGAGTTCGTCATTTCTTCAATTGCTCCAGGGTAGTAGTGCCAGAATTCGCGGTAGATGTTCAAGAAACAGGTGAGGGACTCATCCTCTTCAAAATAGCAATAGTCCATCTGCTCTTGATGGGCAGAAGAGGATTGGTCGGCAATCGCAGGACCAATACGGCGCCTGCTATCAATGACATTGCCATACACGTGCCGACTTCGCAACTGCCTAATGGCACAGCAATAGTAATGCCAAAACTCGTGAAAGACAGTCTTGAACCTGTTTGGTTGCATTCCGTCCGTATCGTCCAACCATCGACCTTGCTGGCAAACGGATGTGCCAGATGGATCATCATGTTCGTCACTATCATTGTGTGCTGTGGAGGCAGTGTCGTCCATAATACTTCGACCAGTCTTCTCCTGGTGGGTGTCGCTGAATTGACGAGAATACACCTTGGGTTTCATGGCCAATTCAAGTTGCAGGTCCAAACCATTGCATTCCATCGGAAAGAATGCAGACATCAAGAATTCAGGATTTTTTAGAGGACTCGTTGGCCGAAAGTCAGCTCGCCCAAGCAAGAGATGTTCAGAGTCAGAAGCTACGGTATGTTCCGCATAGTTGTTTGCAACCTTGGAAGTGCTCAGTTGAAGAAAGGGGGTCATGTCGAGGTGAGAAAAGTCAAACTCGCATGCACCACTCGCACTGCTGTCATCATCACTCTCTTCCTGCAGCAGCAAAAGGTCTGTATAGGAGCTATGCTCACTGTCATCCTTCAGATATCCTGGTCCTTCTTGCTCCAACAATTGAATGCATGACTCCAACTCTTGCTGCGTTTTTGAGGGCTGGATGGGTCTTTTTTCCTCTTCCCTTATACTACAATCACCATGAAAGGACACTAGAGTCCCTTCGGACTTCCTCCCACCAGCATGCTGCACCAGAGACCTGCATTTCGTTGGCTCCGGTTCTGTCATTCCTCTTTCAATGGTGGCACCATGCCTCCCTGAAGAAGACAAGCGCCTTATAACATGGCTCCACTCTGGGCGAACACGTACATGGATTTCTGTCAACGTTTTCGGACCCCATGCAACTGGTATTTGCATTACATACTGTGCTTCTAAATCAGCAGTGGTGACAGAGCTCATGGCTGATGCAAGCCAATAGATTTTGTATGGTTTTGTTGGTGGTGGCGTCCGAACTATCGATAGCTTCTCAGTTGTAGTTTGTTGAGGCGGATCAAGCTTCGGATATGTTGGGGGAAAGCGAGCTGCGGATGTTTCTTGCGGTCTGTTGTAAGAATTCAGTTTCTTGGCTTGCATCCGTTGATTTCGATAATGACTGAAGTACCGCACAGCACGTAGAAAAGACTGCATACAGTTGTTGAATTGCGACTGGAAACTGTAAGATGATGGTACTTCATGGAATTCGCCATACGTTACCGTACGAACATTGCTTCTGGTTTCGAGTACAGGATGACTTCTTTTACCGCTGACAGGTGTCAAAATGTGAGCATTTTTGACGGTTATGTTTCCGTTTTCGGAAATGGGAACCCAAAAGTCGTCATTTCGCGAATCCTGCATTGAACTGAATGGTTCTTACAAAGACAAGATTGAAGAAAAGAAAATGAATTTTATCACCATGGCAACAAAGTTGACCAAATGGCCATTAGCTTTACCAATACATTGAGATAGCAAATCCTTTTCTAGAACTAGCTCCCCAACACACTCACAGAGCCACTCCCCAAAAAGGATTTGCTATCTCCAAGGTTTCCTATCGAGCATCCAGGAAAAGTCAGGCTTGAATTCAATTTTGTTGTCATTCTGCCATGCATTTCTCCATGGGAAAGGTGCTCCTGTCCTCACTCTCAGCACTCAATCTGCACTCTAGAGTATGGTGGAGGACTGGGTGGTTTTGGATGAAGACTGGAGCACCCATCCCAAAGATTCAAAGGAGAATTGTTGGCTTGAGGTTGGTGAAAATGCAGCAGATTTAGTTTGTTGTCAGTCAACCAGTTCACAAGTCAAAGAAGTAGTAGAGCAGATGCCGCTTGTTGCATTGGTAGCAGCAGTGCAGAAGCCTTGTTGTGCGTCTGCCGGAAACGTCGCTGGCTTCGTGTCATGGTCGCTCTGCTCCGTCGCCGTCTACGTGTCGATCCGTCGATCGGCAAGCAACAACATCGCCGTTGTCGGTGCCAGTATCGAAAGTATCTGCTGCTAACATTAGACGCATCACGGTCGCTTCACGAAAGAGAGTCGAGTCATTCCGTGGAAGAGGAGGCGTCATGGTCGATCCGTGGAAGAAAGAAGATCCGTGGAAGAAAGAAGTCATGGACCGAATCGATCCGTCGGCCGAACGATCGAACGGCTGCCACTTGCGCGTTCCAGCCTAGTCATGGTGGAGACGTCTACAAGAGGAGTAGCCGCTGTAAAGAGGAGATAGTGTCATCTTGATAGAGTCGGTAGAGAGTAAAGATAGAGGTATCGATCGATCGATCGAAATAATGAAAGAAGAGGTGTACGAGTGGCTTAGATCGATCGCGATCCGAGTGATGTCAGTTGAGTTTAAGGTTGAGGTGATTCTGGTCCTCTAAGTCTTTTCACGGAACGTTCCAGGACGTTCCGGTTCGCATTCGAATGTCGTACCGGGAGCGGGCTTGCGTTTGTCTTGATAGCTTAGATTCAGCCTGTATTCACGGTTCACGGTACCAATAGCTACTCTAATAGTGTCTTTCTTCTAAAGCTACCCTTCGTTACAAATAGACAGTGTACTCAGGTAAGTTGGTCCCCGTAGTAACTCCTCTGCATACCTGCTTGAATTGTGACTGGGAGCTATGATAAAGCTGATAGTGGATAGTAGTACTAGCTAGCTAGTATTATTAGACTACAGTCGTACATCATCATGGAATTCGCCATACGGTACATTGCTTCTGGTTTGGAGTATTCTACGGTATCATTCTTACAATGCACTGTACCCTCCAGCTGGTAGCATTCGGCCCATCCCAATAGCACGTAGCACCCACGCCGGGCGCCTGCCTGCCTGCCTGCCTGCCTGCGTGAAAGCCCACATGGCCTCATGTTAACCATGGAGTGAAACACCATTCGCTGCAACAACAGCAACAACAACAACAACAACAACAACAACAACAACAACAACAACAACAACAACAACAACAACAACAACAACAACAACAACACCAACAGCAGCAGCAGCAGCAACAACAACAGCAGCAGCAAGAATCGAACGATGCAATAATAACAACCATCATGTCTTCTTCATATGTTTGGGTTCAGCTCTACTACAAGCATGAGGGAAGGGAGGATCTCGAGCTGAAAGGAGGCCGTTTCGACATTGGTATTGCAGACATCAAGAATGGAAATATTAGTGGCCTGACAAAGAAGGTCAAAGAAGAACGGCAAGTTGCCCTTAGCCATTGTGATGCGGCGGATCTTTCGGTGTACCCCGATGGAACCACATCTTTCTCTCAAGACAACGCGGTGGATCCTGGTGGCGATGTATCACCCGATACTACCTCCAAGCATCCCTTGATCGTGGTGGCATCCGCTCCGAAGCAAGCAGATGGTAAGTAGAGTTTTGATTGGTTTAATGTTGAATTTATTCAAGTCATCAATTAATCACTCTTTGATTACTGTGGGTATTTCGATTGGTTTTCCTTACAGATATCACCTTGTCACCAATTGTCACCAAGCTTCAGGAGTTTCGGCAGACCAGATCAGTTCACTTGTTGCTTTTGCACAGGAAGAATTGGATAACAGGACGAAGCACAAGGCCATATCAGAAGCATCTGTGCAATTTGCTGCATCTATATTGGCTGGGAATGGTATCCAGACTGTCGTGGAGGACCCTATCCGGGAGGCTGGGTCCCTGGTTCATCCACCGAAGTTTTCATGGGAAGTAAGTGAACATGCCGGCACGCCTGGAGTGATGAAGTGGGCTAATGAACACCTGCTGGCTGGGGAGAAAGAATATGGCCTCAAGGTTGTAACGGGTGCAATGTTTCCAAAGGTGAAAGGTAACAGGAAAAGCACCGCCGGAAAAGGTGACATTGCCATTGGAAAATTGGAGAATATGGAGTATGGAGGACTTTCACTTTTGTGAATGGTTTAGTTGAACTCAAAACGGATAGGTCTTCTTGCAAGAAAGGACAAAACTTGCTTGAACTGTTTGCTCTATCCATGACAAGTAAATTTGGGAGAGGTGTTGCTCTTTTGGCCACAGATTGTGATGAAACATGGGAGACCTTCCATTTCTCAAAAGTGGGCGTTATTACACACAGGTTTTATGATCATGGCGGAAAAGCGTGGGAAGATTTCATGAAGTTGATCAAGTCTGCAGAAATACGTCAACTTCAAAACCCTCCTCCACCTTCACTGGCAGCAATCAAAGAAGACAACAAGGGCGAAGAAGACGAACAGAACTTGGATGGCTTTGCCATACCAGCTCACGAAAAAAAAAGACAGAGAGCATTGGATGACCAGGCAATGCTAGAACGCATGGCTGATCACCTTGGTGAGCTCTATGGTGAACGGCTGCAGTTGTCCCGTCGTGGGCTCATGCTGAAGCAAGGATTCCTGACTACTATTTCTAGAATCATGAAGGTGTTAACAGAACACGCTTATTACGGCAAAGTACTAGTATCTATCTTGTGGTATCAAACTTAGCTGAAAGGGCCAGGGGACGTGAGGGGTAAGCGTAGCGAGTGAAGACATGACGCACCGATCAAATGTGCGACTAGAGGTGGATATGTCGAAACTATTATTACCCCCTCGTGCCCCCTGATCTCCGTGTTGGAGGTTGTCTTACAGACACCTCAATACAAATTAGTCGTTTATCCCAATCTAGTTTAGAGGGGATATCTATATCTATTCTCTAGTTACATACATGGGGAGTTTAACTGATCTATATGGTCACCCCCTTCACTATATCCTTTGAAGTTGAATCAATCCCAGAAAACATGGAGAAAGATCACTTCTTGGAAATAGCTTAACAGTAAAACAGTATTTTACCTTTACTAAGCTAGAGTGTTACTAGAAACCAACACTATTTCCAAGAAGATCATCACGAATTCGAGATCACCGCAATGGTGATATCGATATTGACTTCGTCCTATTACATGATATCCAAGTCTATGCCAAGGTAAACAGTTCAACGAGCAGTTCAGGCAGACAGTGCCGAGCCCCACTATAAGGGCTACCAAAACAGCTCAACAGGCAAAATTCCGCATGACGAATCCAACAGGAACTGATTAAGTTACGACCAATCAAGTTGGAGCAAGCAGTGAGCTCCGGATCAAAGGAAACGAAGCTCCAGGAGTGAGCTCCAGAGCAAGAAAGAAACAAGCTCACAGGAGTGAGCGAGCGAACACCAAGATTTTGTGCTGCGGAATATACAGCCATCGTACGACTGCAACCTATGGGTGCAGTGACGGTACGAAAAACAACTACAAGAGTGGCACCACAGGCTGCCACGGAGACTGCACGCAAGCAAAGCTGGGACGACTAGCTAGGAGTCCAAGCAAGCAACCAAGCTCACAGGAGTGAGTTAGCTAGCCACTGTACGAGTTACAAGGGCTACTGTACGTACGGGACGAACCGTACCAAACTTACAGGAGGAGTGACACGACGACGAGCGTCAAGTGTCAATCAACCGGAAGGAGAGGAACAACACGAGTGTGTTGTCGACCAGAAAAGGAACGAGATAACAAATCCCAACAGGAACACCGCAGAGGTACTTCCGTGGGAGTGTTCCTATCCTCAACAAGAGAGCCATCAAAAGAGGCTACTAGAAGAGAGGTGCGAAGATTTTCCCGTCGCGCAAACAAGACAAATTACCAGGCCAACTACTCAGCAAGGACAGGTCCTACGGAAGGACTGCCATACAGGAAGTTGTGCTTTGAACATTAGCACAACAGGCCTGAAGAGTGCAAGGCGTCGAATGCAACAGGAACCAAGTTGCATCCACCGGCGCATGCAAAACAAATTGAAAGAAAATCAGTGGACAGAAACCGCTACTGTTAAAGCTATCGGTTGTCGATACCGATAGCGGCAACCGTGTGGACAACAGGAGTGTAAACCCAAGTGGCAACGCGGCAAACAACAAGACGTTCGAAACAAAGCAATCGAACAACACGAAGCGATCAAACAACGACCGCTACAAGAACAACAAGAGTTGTTCGCTACTACGACCAGTTAGCTGCTATCGCTACTAGTACGACGAATAGCAACCAACCAAACACTATAACCACATCGCCATCGCGTCAATCAATACCGACAGTGGCAACAGCGCCATTGTGTCCATCGGCAACAAAAGAAGAAGTGCCGACCACGACATTGTCGATCGGCAACAACAAGAGTGTCTCCAACTGCTGTCGGCAGAAGAAGACATTGCTTTTTGTGAGGAAACCACTGACTGCCATCAGTTCCACGGAACGATAAAGAACAGCCTACAGTTCAGCGAGCGGCAACAGGAAGCAAAACGTCACAGCCAGGCGAAAGGTATCTTTCGGTCACGAAAAAGGTATCTTTCCGGCACGGAGCCAGCTCCAGCTCTCCATACCGGTACGTCGGCAACAAGAGGATTTTCCGTGGAAGATCCAAGCAACCAGCCCTGCACCGGTACCTGTACCAAAGCAGGTGCAGCACAACGTACAGTGCTAGCTACCGGTAATAGCTACCGCCAGAACCACTGAAGCAGTGCAGAGCTACAGGAAGCACAGGAGTGCTTCCGCCAGCATTGAATATTTCTTTGGAGTTGTTTGAGTTTACTCAACACCTCCTACCCCTTTCATGGAGTGTGTATTGTGGCATCCCAGCCACAGCACCTCCTACTACTATTTTTTGGAATGTGTATTGTGCAACTAATCCACAGCACTTCCTCCTTATGAAACAGGCAAACCTGAGGCAACGACAGCCTCCAGGCAATAACAGATACCATTACAAGTCTATGCCCTTGCTATTTGATCACAGCAAGTGCACAGGAGTGTGGTGGTACCCAAAACCTACAAGCCTAAAAACAAAATCATCATAACATCCGCCATTATAGGCAATGCCGCAACCATCAACGGCACTAATGGCCACAACTACACGGCCAACAACCATCAATGGCTACATCAACAGCCAACAACGGTATCTACTGCTACCAAACCAATTTGGAATTGCATCTTCAATGACGGCAACTGCAACAACAGCAGAACAAACAGTGAACGCTGAACCGAGTAGCTAGCTACAAGCAAGCAACTCAAGAGTTCACAAGACAAGGAACAAAGCCACAGGATGGCTGGAGCAGACAGAGTTTGACCCACAAGCGGGAACCTGATCAAAAAGAAACAACAAGAGGGTGCACACCTCAGCTCCACTGCAACTACTGTACAGAGATTGCAACCAACCTAGTCTCACACCAACAGAAGTACATGAGTACAACAAATCAAGCCTACAGAAGATACAACTACGAACAACTACTGCCACAGCCATCTCACAGGAGTGTAAGAGCAGTGACATCACCAACCAAAGGATCTACCGACTACATCACCATCGAACCATCATCGACCGTGACACGTCCAGGTCCAGTGGAGCCCATCAAGTTGGAGCATCCACAACTACTACCAAATACTTCCTTACAAGTATCCAAACTTCCAAGGGCTTCCAGCCCCAACTCAAAGTATCATTGTGGCAAGGAACTTCCTCCTAGTTCCAGCTACTACAACAGTTCTCACAAGTGTCGCTATAGCCTGACTTCCCAGTCTCAGCTACGGCAACACCAAATGACGGTACCAAGTTGCGACAATACCATTGTGGATTGATTAATCTAACGATCTAAGAGATGTAAAGTTTGTATTTCCAAATAAGTGAGCAGTTATTGATTATTTTCTAGAATAAGCTTGCTAATTGTAAAGCTGTAAAGCTGAATTGTAAGCTGTATCCCGTCGCACTCCCTTACAGCTGAAATGAAGCTGGAGCAAGAAACGATAGGAGAGAGTCCCCAGCAAAGTGCTGAGGTAAATTACCATCCCATTGAGGAGCTTCCGAATGACAGCAAACTTGGAGCCGGAAGACCCTTAGTGAAATGTCGGCCCGTTGTTCCAGAGTCGGAATATACTTAGCCACAATGCCCTTCGACTCCCCGATTTGACCTGAAGAAGTGGTATTCAATGCCAAATACTTGTTGCGCGCAGACATTTTGGGAACATTCACAAGAGACAGGCAACCTTGGTGTTCTTCGAACACTTAGAGCGCACGAGACTGTCAGTAATTACCGGCATATTCAGTTTGCTACCAATTTCTTTGAGCAAAGCTCGCATAGGAAGCAGCTCCCTCTTGACATGCTGAAGGCAACATACCAGCAGCAGTGGAGCTCAAAGTAATGTCAGTCTGTACTTGCTGGACCAGATGATAGGGCACCCAAACAAAGTCAGGACAAATCCAGTGCGAGATTGAGGACACAGGATCCTGATCATCCTCTTATCCATACAATCCGGCGAGTCAGCATCGACCCAACAATCAAGTCCCGATCAAGTTTAGGGCTAAAACAAATGCCTTTGTCACTTGTGCCAATCAGATACCGAATGATACTGTTGATTGCTTGAGCATGGGAATGCCTGGATTGTGACTGAATCGTTCCACCTGGTGCACACTAAAATGTGATGTCTGGGCGAGTGTTCGACGCAATTTAAAGAAGCATCCCAACTGCAGCTGGATAGCTCCACTCTTCTTCAAATGGGGCCCCCAGTTTGTCAGCTCCGAGAGGACGGTGGCGGCAGGAGAAAGCTTCTTGCTAGCGTCAGACATACCAGTATATTCGATGACTTTATTTGATGAGCCCTTTTTGAGTAAGCCAACATTGTCTCCCTTCTTTCAAAAATAATGCCGAGGAATCCAAAGATGTCACTTTTTTCTTCCATGGTGAGGTCATATCAAAGTTTCTGGAGCTGCCCAACATAGGACTCAATCAGATCATTGTCTGACCTGAGCCAGATTTGGTCATCACAATAATTTAATACCATGAGTTGATGTCCTTATGAATAAACAACATGGGTCTGCTGCCGATGGTTCGAAAAACCAAGTGGATCATCCCGCGACATAGATGCTCATAAAATAATTTAGGTGAATCGTCTGCCCATAGATGGACTTGTCAAGTTTCAAACACAAGTCCTGTCCTTCATAATCTTTGGGTCGTAGTACTGAGGCAATTCCATGTACAGTGGCTGGTCGATAGGCTGAGGGCTTTGACAGAAAGCAAGAGTAAAATCAACTTGTCTCGATTCCCATCCGTGTGACAGCTGCAAGAAGAAGAACTGCTCTAACGGTGGGCCAACCAACAAGTGGAGAGTACGCGACGCCTTCATAGGACTGAAGGTCTCCTCTTCAAGCACCATCTAGATTTAAATTACTTAATTAATTCAGTCCGCAATCTGGTAACTTCTTCGATTACAAGTATGTGACCCTGTTCAGGAACCGCCTTTAGGGTGTAGAGGGCAATGTGAGAATCGAACGATCTGTAAAGTAGCGACTTCGGCCTAGCTGCCAAGTGCCTTTTTCCTTCTCAATGGCTGGGCCAATTTCTTTGTCCATTGCTGCCCAAAAATGGTCTGCATGTGGTCCCATCAGAGATTCCTTCAGAGAAGGGAGATCCGGGTCTTTGGAAATTTTGGCTTTGAGAGCCAGTG